TTAAAAATGGAATTGAGTGCTCAAAACATTGATGAATGAATGAATATTTCTTGACAAAAATTAAAATTCACCTTATTTTTTGAACAATTAAATCAACTCTATAATATTTTGATTATGAAAAGTTATGAAACATATTTTCGACTGGATCATTATGAAGTGGATCCATCTTTAAATTCAGCAAGTTGGGAACTGAATCATTGGATGTAAACCTTTGAGAATTTTCTTGAAGTTCACAATGAAACCTTAAATGAACCGAAGTTAAACAACTATCTTGTAGATAATAGAATTAATTCTCAGTCGTAAAGGAAGATATTGGGATGTTTCTAGAAGTATAATAGTATATACAGCATATTGTCAAAACTATTGTGAAATAAATTCAAAGTGTAAAAACCATTATTGTATCACAAGATTCAATAAAAACTTGTGATTAACTAATCCGTCTACCTCAGGAGAATTTTTTTTTTTAGGAAATAGGACAATCAAAGGTGAAAATGAGCAATCTCAACTTGAACACTCTTGCACTAGCGTGATTGAAGCTAAAGAAGTCAGCGAATCTTTGATAAGTATAGAATGGATTAGAACACATTATGGACATATCTGCAATAGCATGAATGTCAACGTTAAAATTGAAAGGTATTTGGATTTGGTATATAAGCAATTTGATAAATTAATTTATTTATTTACGGACTTGCCATTTTACAATAAACAAATAGTATGAGAGATAAATAAACAATTGAACAATATTATAGAATACCAAGAATGCAAAATATCAACTAATTATTAATAATAATTAACCTGAGTTTTGAAAGAATATGAGGATGAATCAAATAAATCAATATAGATGCTATTTTTCTTTTTTCTAGTAATGAATTTATTTAAGCCATAGCTAGTAGAATGGTAAGGAATTTGAATGTTCATTGAATTAAATCAATTGTGTTACACATGGGCACTTCATATCACTATTTGTGACTTTAAGAAGAAGTCTTAAATCAATTATAATCCGTAATTTTTTCTTCCGTACGTGCAGTATTCTGTGATCTGAGTAAAGCATTTGACTGTGTTTCACATGGTCTACTTATTGAAAAACTGATAGTGTACAATTTCAGCTACGAAAGCATTGAACAAATAAAAAGTTATCTGTCCAATAGAGAACAAACAGTAGGAATAGGAAATGTGTTGTCCACAAGTAGATGCATTTCAACAGGGGTTCCACAAGGTTCTATCTTGGGACCTCTGCTCTTTCTAATCTTTATCAACGATTTACCCTATGAAGAAACATTTACCTCTTTCATCCTCTATGCTGATGACACAACCCTATTAACTACCTCCTTATCGAGACTGGCTTGAACGTTTAAAGTTCATTTCTTCAGATTTATAGAAAATTTGTCTGTGGATCATGGAACAAATCCCATTAATTTGAGTGATTCAAATACAATGTGATCAATATGACCTTGAAAGGTTACTTTGTTATCAAACATCACTTCCAAGTCCAGAACGATGTTGGTCAACATTAAATGAATGTTTTTAAATTTATATGGATAAATAATAGGTTTTGCAGTTCTTGGAAATGTTATTATTTGATAATGTTTATTTATATTTGAATGAATCGTGTTCATATCGCAACAAAGGGATAAGTTGTTTAATAATACGTTAGCTATGTGTTTATAATTTGTAAAAGCTCATGGCTTTACATTTTAGTCAAGTCTTATAAGATTGGAATTTTATCTTGGTAACTTGTTTTTTATTTTTTTGTAAATCTAATTCATCTACAAGCGTTTTTTAAAAACTATATTGACGAACCCCACCCTCTCAAACCTATTTTAGAAATTGTATTGATGTGTCTAACAAATGTGTGTTTCTTGAGACTAATAAATATTATTATTATTTCTGAATTTGATTATTTAAATTTCATTTCCAGAGATTTGGACTTGCCGCCCGTTGATAAAGATATGGAAGTAGTTCAACCTGAATTCACATTTGTTAAAGTCGAAGAAAAATCCTCGACAACAAATTGTATTCAGACACCCATAGGATTTGGTACTGACGACAGCACATTCTCCCTGGATTCATGGGTCAGTGAATGTGGTGCTTATCAGGACAACCCAGTATTGTTTTATAAACCATCAAACTGTACAGTGGAAGGCTTCTCAATTGACGACTTTTGCTTGATAGTAATGACCAATTTCCAAGCAGATATGTTGAAGATGTACCCGGATATTGTGGCCATAGACAGCACTTACGGTTTGGAAGATTGCGAGTTCGAACTCACAACACTTCTGATCATCGATAAAAAGGGAGAACTCTTTCCGGCTGCGTTTATGATTACTAATAATGACAGTAGGCCTGTGAGTACCTTCTTTTTCGAACACGTGCGGGAGAAAGTTGGTGCTGTTTCTCCACAAATATTTATTTCAGAAATGACTGGAAAATTTCACGACTCCTGGTCTGCCGTAATGGGTCCTATAACGAATTGGTTGTTCTGCTCTTGTCATTTGGAGCATATCTGGAAGTTGAACTTGCTGAATATAAAAAATAGAGATAAACGAATCTGGGTGTATGAAACGTTGAAGGAACTGCAGCTGACGTCTGAGGAGGAAAAGTTCATAAATGCTCTGGATTCCGCGATAAACGAAATACTGAATGATCAAGAAACCTTCGCGTTCGGAGAAGCTTTCCAGCATTCGTACGTTGATTGTATAAGACAGTGGGTGTATTGCTACAGAAAAGAACTTGGGTTAGAAGCCGATATATTTTTGGATAGCATGAAGCAGATGGTGAGGCATCCAGGGTGCAGAAGAAAAATTAAAAAACGCGACGAGGTTGTGTGTGACATGCTGCAATACGTTAGAGACAAAACAGTATCATGCATAGTCGAGGTAGCTGAGGGAGATTTGAAAGAAGAAATAGATCGGAACCATGATAGATCAGTGCAAAATGCTTTCGCGGTTTTGAAATGCAGCGAATCTTTATGGAAGCTTCGGCTTGGAGAAGAGGATAGTTCTGTGTATTCCGTTGTAAAACTATCGGGTAAAAAATGTTGTGACGTCACCTGTTGTAAGTGTGACATCTGTGTGCATATGTATTCCTGTAGTTGCCCGGCATATTTTATAAATTCCAAGATTTGCGAACACATACACCACATCGCTTTCACTTATGCACATTCAAGAAATCGGGCGGAAGGTGGAGGCAAATACGTTGCTGAGCTGGATCAAGATGATGCTGGATCAGCTGTTCTCAGCACTGTCTCGAATCCTGAGCTCATTTCAAAAGTAGTAAACAAAACTATCATGAAATTGCAAAGTGCTGATTTCAGTAACATGCCACGAAATGTTTCTTCACAAGTGTTGACTCATTTGTTAGCTCTGAACAGTTTGATAACATTTGGCGACAACGATGATGTAAATAGTGTTGGTTCATTTGTAAATGAACAATCGTAGTGATGGAAATTGCGCGCTCAAAGTGTGCTTGGACATGTCGAATTTTATTATGTATTTATTACATTCTGTATAAAATTATTTCTTACTTCCTAATCTTATTACTGTAATTGAGATAGATTGTATATTAATAAAAAAAATTGAGTCATATCGAAAGTTATTTTGCATTTGCATTGCCTTCACTGTATATATTAATCATAACAATGAATATCAAGAAAAATGAATCAAGCTACATTAAAAATAATGTGATACATAAACATCACACTCGGAATGGTAATGAACTGCGACTACCCTACTCTCGACTGGCTCTTGGTCAGGGATCCTCAAGTTATCAAGGTATCATCTGCTATAATAAAGCACTTCATTTGTTCTTGATTCCACCATGAGCTTCAATCTAAATATACCCACGGCTATCCACAAAGCCATGAAAATGTTAGGGTTTATCAAACGGGTAACCCACTATTTCTTATGACCCAACTGCTATTAAATCCCTTTATTGTTCACTGATCCGTCCACACCTGGAGTATTGTTCTTCTGTCTGGTCTCCTCATTGTGTAACTTGCATTAAGAACATCGAAAATGTCCAACACAACTTCCTCAGATACATATCATATAAATCAGGTGTTCATTGCTACTGCAATCTCTGAGCATGCCCTCACTGGAAACTAGGAGGAAACAGAGAGATCTGACACTGCTTTTTAATATTATTGAAGGCAAATTCAAAACCGCTCAACTCGACAGCAACAAACATTTTATGTATCTTTTTATCGTTTGAACCACACATTCAAGCTACATTCCAAGAATCATACAATTAGCCAAAAGTAACGTTAATCTTGAGATGTTTAACATCTCCTTGCATCATTTCAAAACTCAATTACGGAATACTGTGCTTGAACGTTTTAGTATTGTTTGTGGTAGTATATGTTTTATTGTCGCTCACTGTTTTTTGTCGTTTTATACTCTAAAATTAACCCCTTTTTAAACTTTAAATTTACCCCTTTTAAGCTATTTTTAGTTGGAATTTGTAATTCAGTACCTACCTTATCTGATTTTATTTTAATTATAATTTAACATAGTAATGTATACTTTAAATGGGCTTGCCCGCAAATAAATAAATATATTAAAGAAGAAGAAAATGATACGAATTATGAAACAACAAATATTAATTGGCGACTTCAGCAACAACTGGAGCACCGCGACTGTTACCACATCGCCTTTAATAATGTCTACCGTAGTAGTAGATGAAACGTCAGGGTAACCAAATCGAAAGCTCTCATTTGGACGTCATCTACAGATGCTGCACCTCTTTCAAACATTAGAGTGTAGACCAACTTAGTTACACTGGGATAGGAGACACTTCATACCAATAAAACATGGAATACGAGTTACTTGAAAGTTTTAATAGAGTTTTGCACCTCTATAACCTAGCTGAATAAATGAAACTGCTGAATTATCACTATTAAACATAAATTGTCACTGGATAAAGAAATCGGAGTGTCACGGTTCTGGAACTTTCTTCTCTTTCTAATGGTTGCTTCAATAGGAAAAATAAAATAAAGGTTGTTACCCTAGGGTTTGCTGAACTAAAAGCCTACAACTTCTATTGAAATCCTATTTCCAGAAACCAATCAAGGAAGCTCAAGGCTGTTTGTTTTACATTCCTCTAAATATACTCCTTTGATTCTTGAGATCCGGGGATTCCGGCAGTCTCCAGCAGTATAACCACCTCGGACCTATGTTGTACAGTGCAGCCAGATACATCCAAGACGATCTCCTCGTTGTGTCCAATGCAGTCCTGTTTTTATGCTGTCAGTAGTAGTCATACTTTGATAGTTTAGTGCTTGTATATACTATTTATGCTTGTACTCATTTTGTGATTTTGCCTGGAAGAACTACAATACCAAAAAAACTATGATGAAAAAATTCCTGATAACTCTACGATTAGTTAAAATTAACAATTTCAAAATATGATTTCATACACACCACTTTCAATATCATGAATTTTTGAAGCTCCATATCTCAATAAATATTTTTTCTTCTGTGTTGTGATATATAGGTACTGATCGATACAGAATTTTGGACTCTAGGTATACATTTTTTCGCAAATTTTAATTTTTTTTACCTCTTTAGCTTTTTAGTATATGATGTCGTTAAGCGATTTTTGTTCGTCTTTCCTCTACGAATTCAAATAGAACCAAAGCGCTGCCGAAACAGCCCGAAAATTGACATTTTGGCAACGCTGGTGTTAATGAACGCACTGATCGACGTTGCTTTGAGAAATTTCGTTCCGAAGATTTCAGTCTCGAAGATGAGCTCCGGCTCCGAAGTTGTCGATCTACAGTAATCCAGGTCGATGATTTGAGGACCCTGGTGGAGACTGATCCATTACCTTCCATGCGGTTTAAAACGTATTGAAAAGGTCAAAAAGCTCGAAAAGTTGGTGCTTCACGACTTGAACGATCGACAGAATTTGTCACTCTTATTTGTATTTGCTTGAAAATTGGATCTTGTACAACAGTAGACATTCAGGACAATGGTTGGATAACGATGAGTCACCCAAGCTCTTCCCAAAGACGAAAACCCGACAAAAAAGTTACTAAAGCAAATTCAAATCCAAGATAGAGTGGATGTAAACATTGACATGCCTTACGCACGTGATATTGAAAATCCCAAGAATTGGCCAGGGTCGTATTCAGAACCAACATCTTGTTGATCGCAATGGCTATATCATTTGAGGTTTTGCAGTTTAACGGGAAAAATCCAGATAATATGTGTAATATAAAAATATTTTCATTGGATTTTTCACAGCGCACTCAATCATTATATGAAAAGAGGCGTAATTATTTTTTATTGATAATTTTTATTTTATGTAAAATCAAAAAGGAATATTAATCAAAATTATTCAACTGAATGAATTTGTCTACTCATCAGTAGTGTCATCCTCACCAATCTGAATTATCAGTGGCTCGATTTGTGCCTCTATTATGTTACCAAGCTTCCACATCTTTGTCTCGACTTCCGATATCACATGCCGAACACACTTCTCCCATTTCTCCGCTGTGACTCTTTTCAAAGCCTCATCAAAAAGTACTCTTATAACCTGGTCTACTGAAATTAGATATAGATTAATAGGGTTGATCAACATCATAACCCCAAAAATTGGTTATGTAAATCACAAGTATAGTTTTTGGACAAACGAACTTTAATTGACGCCACTTTATTCGTCATTGTTGCCAAACAACTCAAACCTATCTTCTCGAGCAAATCTCAGAACAATTCAAATAATGAATTTTGAAATGTTAAAATATTTTTAGTGTTGATGCCACGAAATACCCCGAAGCCTTCATTTTCCTGGTGGTGGCCGCAGCATTGATCTTGCTGCTGAAGACAGTTTTTGAGAGACGAGAGAAGCTATGCGAGAACTTCTTTTCCACATGTACTCTCTCGTTTTGTCGTGGTTATCAGCACTGTCCACTCTCACCTAGCAAATAAAAAAACTATTTTAGCAAAGTAATCGGTCTACTATATAGGTATTTTCTGGCGTTTTATCATATTCAAGGGTGTATTCAAAAACGATTCTTAGTTGCGTCATCAATTATAAGATTCGCCAGAATGGAATGATTCAATTGTGTCAACATGTTAAATTCAGTAATAAAAACAAAATTTTCAATTTTCTTCAACCTCAATTAGAATCGAATTTGTGCAAGTAATAATTTTCCAGCTTTATTTTGTACATCCTCACAGCGTATTTGATAAATAAAAAGTTTTCAGCACTTTATTAGCTACAACGATCAAAATGCTGCAGAAACTGACAACTGACGTAAGGTAACGTCAAATTGCATTTCAAAACCAACCTCACTAGTTTTGAATCATCATGAAAACGTTTCAAATCATAGTTGACGTGACGTCATCGTTTCAACGTCAAAATGAATGTGAATAACAGACGAATACGTTTTGAATACATGAGCGCCAGAAAAGGCCTTATGTCAAGAAAATTGAGAAGATAAGTTGAATTCGGAAAAAACTGAATAAGGTATATATTTCATGTTCACCTGTTTAGGCTGTAAAACCCTGATTGAATGTAGAGTAGCTGCGCCGCCGTGCATGATTCGCAAATTCAGTCTTCCGTACATTTCAGCTGTGGTTGCTGTTGCACTTTTCAATTCTCTCCGGGCACCTTTACCAAACTGAAAAATATCGGTAAACTTCTAAAACTTAAATGGTCAAGCAAGCATAACACATTTAGGGGATTTCAAAGTAAACAAAGATTGAACAAATTAACGATGTTTGTGATTGTGCGTGTCTTAAAATTTATTGTTATAATGAAACAAAGTCAGCAAAATCCATCACAGTTTTGTTTATGCCATTAGCGAGAATATTGAATCTCTAAGCGCAAGTTGAGTTGAGCGCGATCTTGGCAAAGTCAGAATCGATTCACGACGACCAGCGGCGGCCGTCGTTATTTTTTTCAGGGGATGATCTAGAACAGTATTAAGGAAATGATTTAGTTCAATGGTTTCGACTAACTATATGTAAAAACTCATTTCAAATGAATGATAATGGGGCAAACTTAATAAACATAAATATTTTATAAAAGCCATTTGGTATTGAGTTTTTTCTGCGTATCAATTTCAATACTCACCTCCTTCTCAACTCTCAAGGTCAGTGGTCCCAAAACGAAGTCAGTCTTTACGTTGGTATGATCCGACATCATGATAACCGTTACATCACCATCTCTCCTGATAGAACTCAATCCGAACAAGGTAGCCCTTGACTGTTGTTTGTTTTTCGATTGTTTATTTTTGTTGTTCGACTGTTTCACTTTGTTTTTGTTCCCTATTTGGAGCAATCCAAAAGTACTTTTTTGGATCAATACTCAATAATTTTGATAATACGAGGTGGTGAAGTCAGAAAACTCATTCAATTGGGTCATTTTTTGTGACAATAACTGCGTATAACTTATAACTTTGGCATTTTGAAAAACAGCCTCTTGATTTTTTTGCTATTGCGCTGATTGCCTTTTATATTATTTTTTCTGTTTATTCAACATGTTATGACTCATCATCAGGCTGCAAAATATTCACACAGTGCCGAAGTACTAAATTACGGAAAATTTACCCGCGAAAGGTTCAGCATATTTTGTTTTTTTGTACAGTTTTTGCCATAATTCCTTAGAAATATAATATTACTAGCCCTAATCACAAGTGAGGTGAAATTACTGGATAATCACGTACCTAACCTAACAATATCACATACCTAACGGTTTGGGCTCATCTGTTATAGCATTGGCGGACCTTGCAATCGGAACCTCCGCCATTTTATTCCGTACGTCTGTGGTTTTGCGTTGGGGATTTCTTCGCTTATTGTTCTTCTTTTTTCCTTTACCCTTCGACTTTTTCTTGTTTCCTTTGGCTTTGTTCTTAGTTTCGGCAGACTGAAGTTTAACCCGAACCGGATCATACGACTTTCCCAAAATTTTATTGATGCGGCCTATTATGTTGTCCACGAATCTGTTGTATTTGGAAATATAAATTGCTGGCATTTTGGGTTGTCCCATTTGAATGGAACCTAGAAAATTTATTTCAAAAATTCATTTCATTTACACAACAGGAAAATTCGCCGATAAATGTTTGGAATTTCGTAATATTTTGTTTTTAATGTTATAGTATATTTCAATTCAGTTAGGGCACATGCACAAATTGGTAATTCTTTCGTAACTAATGAGCCAAACTATTCTTAACACCTTTTTTAGTTAGATCTCGATAGTACTGAGATTAAATAAAGAATTTCAGAAAGGCATACCGTCAAATCTTTATGGTATACTCATTGTGATTCACCTCGTATTATCGTTTTTATCATTCATTACCTATTAGTCAATAAAAACATTCTCGGGCAGTCAAGCGGCGTTGGAGGATCTTGGCTCCTACCGAGCAGCGTCTAAATTGGTAGCAAATTACCAAAAACGACTCTCCTCGATAGGGAGACTCAACAGATTGTCTCTGGTCTGAATTCCTGGCCATACTGGCCTGGTAGGCAATGAAGCTGCTGACTTCCATACAAAGGAGGATGCTGCAAACAGCTTCATCGGATCAGAACCTGTCATTGGCATCGCTTTCGGCTTTGCCAAACAAACATTAAACACCTGGATGGCAAGAAGATTTATGGACTTCTGGCAGAATCTTCCAGGATTGGCTCACTCCAATGCGTTTATTCGCCCTTAGAAGCGTGATACCAAACAGTTGTTGGACTACAGTAACGATGAACTACGATAAATCAGGAAAGGAATCGTATTTCGTGTAAAAATTTTTTTATTTGTAAATTGCAAAGCGCTTTTGGCTGTTACGCCATCATCAGTGCGATACCTGCAAGTAAGTAATATTCAATGATATTTATTTTAATTTCAGATTGAACTTCAAATTCTTTTAATATTGTAGAATTACTTACTCGTCAAGTATATACAAGAAGATCTTGCTGTCTTAAGGTACAACAACTTCAGTAACCACTCTGAGTGGACATGAACGTGAACATCACAATAAGCAAACATTTGCAGGAAATGTGAATATTTAAAAAAATGTTCTTAAAGAAAACCATCTCCAACGTGCAGAGTACGAGGAGGAAAAGGAAGTGAAAATTTGACATTGATATAAAGTCTTTACCTATTACAGAACATATTTGGTTTGACAAATGATATATTTAGTGACCACAGTACGTTAAGTTTTCCAAAGTGAGCAAAGAAACATTCAATTGGGATTCTGAGAAATGTTGATTTTTGAAATGATTAAATTAATCGTCTATGTAAAGGAATATATGATCTATTTAATTGTACTTGCGTATTCAGACAAGTACTTTAGACCTAACCTAACCTACCTATTAGTACTCGAGTCACATCAATAAATGCAATTGAATTTTATACTTGAAAAATTCAAGGTGACATCACTGAAGTCGAAATCTGCTCTCTTACTGATGCAGATATATTAGACTTTTACTGCTGAAAATATGGGTAAGTAACTAAATAATTACCTTTTATTTTCACTCAAATCCCAAATGAAGGGTTTATTACTATTTCATTGTAAAATTCTCTGTTTTTCCTTTATTTTAGAAATCATCGTTTTCAAAGAATTACCTACCTACTAGATACGTTCTTCCATGTGATTTTTGCAAAAGGCCCAAATTCAAAACATGCTAGTTTGTTTGCTAATCTGTTTTTGAGCCACTTCCATAGTCAGTATTATCATAATATCTCCATTAACAATGAATATGTTACAGCAAATTATGAAACAATAATGAAAACTTGGAACATATGAACTCGCGCTTGTTTATAAAAGAGGACATTGGTAATGTTATCCAAAGGAACAGATCAAAACCAACTCAAAAAATAATTGTTCCTAGCATAATATGTTGGATAAGGCTTATTGGAGAACCCACATTCATGAATACATTTGGCTCTTCATTGTGGAATGAAGGTTGTTTTAAAAGTTTGGCCCGTTTCAATGTCATGTGTTTTTGAAGCTTTATACCTCTATTAATATTTATAGCTCCGAAAAATTTACCAGGCAGTTCATTTAGATAATTTGATTTATCGTCAGTCTACAAGTATGCCCCCTTACTATATGTGGAGATGGTGTTAATGAACCTACTGTTCCACGATGGTTCGCAAAGTTTCATTCCGAAGATTTTAGCCTCGAAGTGGTCGACCTAGAGCAATCTAGGACGAGAATTTTAGGACCCTGCTTGAGACTGACCCATTACAAACGAAGCGTGGGATAACGGAAGAACTGGGCGTCAGCTCCCGAGTGGTTTTTGACGGTTTAAAACATATTGGAGAGGCCAAAAAGCCGAGCCAAACCATCACATCAGAGTTTTATTGTGAGAAAATCGCCGAAATATACCGAAAATTACGTAAGCAGTAGCCGAAATCAAACGAATTGACCGTCGAAGTTCTGCCTCAACCACCATACTTTCCAGACCTTTCGCTAACCGACTATCATCTTTTCAAGCACTTTGATAATTTTCTCATCTGTAGAACCTTCGCCAATCAGGACCAGGCAAAAACGGCCATCGTCAATTTTATCGAATCCCGGGCACTCAATTTTTATGCTGAAGGAATTAGTGGACTTGTGTTACGTTGGCAGAAGTGCACCGATTCAAATGACGCGTATTTATATTGAATTGAATGAGTATTTACTGAGGTATTTCACTTTGAAGTTTGAACACGGGACGAATAAAAAAGATCTAGAGACCGTGGAATTCCTTCATATTATAAATTTTCATCTTGATTTTCCAAGCAACCAGTTAATGATTTTGAGATTATTTCCTAACTGATGTACAATTCCATAATAGTAGACATTGAATTCTCAGTACGTAATCGTTCCATAGAAACAGCCTCTATTTTCGTACGCCACTGCAAAAGACAGATTAAGGCGAAAACGTTAGTCATTTCTGAGAATTCATTGCCTACTCTTTTGGAATTATAGTATAGTGTAATGAATGTTTGAAGGGTTTGAAAGGTAAACAAACTTGGGAAGATTCACCTAATAATTTTTGCGATCAATATTTTTCGTGAGTGTTTGTGAAAAAGTGGATTTCAAGTTTCAAAGAAGGTAAATTTTTCATTTCCTTTACAAATATTTGACTGTGTTAATCTGTTGGTAGGAATTTAGGTAAATATTCGTTTTGAGGACCGCCGGCGATTTTGAAAATTTTTTTGAGTGTACTTACGTATTTTGATGCGTAGGTAGATTACGAATCCGAAAGAAAAAAGGCTCTTCCTTATTTACAAAGTTACGGCTCTTCAAAGTTCAGAAAAGGGCAACTTTTCAGCCTTCTTTTTCACAAGATAAACTGTTTAAAAACACAAGCATTTATTCACTAGGTCACCTTAACACCTTATTCCTCCTTTCTTGACACTTTTCATCACAACAAACAAAATGTTTCCAATAAAAATGTTAAAAAATGTACGGTGCTGCTTTTTGGTTATATATCTCTGTATTTTACGTTTTTAAGGTTAATAGCAAGCATAGTTGGTACGACTGATGCAAGTAGTAGTTTTTATATTAAGTTTTTTATAGGAAAAATGTTGAATGTTGAATTGAAAAGTGTCAATTAAGTAGGAATAAGGTGTGAAGGTGACCTAGTGAATAAATGCTTGTGTTTTTAAACAGTTTATCTTGTGAAAAAGAAGGCTGAAACGTTGCCCTTTTCTGAACTTTGAAGGGCCGTAACTTTGTAAATAAGGGAGAGCGCCAGTTTTTTCTTTCGGATTCGTAATCTGCGCATCAAAATAGGTACGTGAGTAGGTACATTCAAACATTTTTTCAAAATCGCCGGGTGTCCTCAAAACGGATATTTACCGGAGATTTTCAAATCTACTAACTGAACATGTTCAAGCAAATAGTAACGATAACAGCTCAAGGCCGTTAATACTTATACAGTTTTGCAAAAACACAAGTCAAATGGTTGACTACTTCATCGAATTTGCATAGAATCGAATCATTAATGTGCACCTCCTCCGCAAATCAAATATTTGTTCGCCATAACGGTGGCACGGACACCGTGTACGGCTTGGGAGACGACAGGTCAGTGACCAGAAGGTCAATCCAAGTCATGGTCACACTTTCTACCACCTGTCTTGATTGGATGCTAGTCGAGGTTACCAAGGACTCGTTCACGCGCCACGAGAGTCGTAAATCAAGATTTTGGAAAATCAGGAATTAATTCAATCGTTGCATAGTCCTCTGCTCCATCCTGGTGGGTGTGCATTGATTTACGGTTCACACTAAATTCGTGTTATTTCCTGCTTGATCTCTCTTGAGTACCGATTTAAAATGAATTTTATTTACATTAAAATTAAATTGGGACAACGATACAAAAAATGATTGAAGATATTGTGACATTGATTGAGACCTTCCTTTGTTTATTGATATTGACTTTCAAAGTGGTAACGGTTCATTTGTTGATTTAAACTAGTGGAATCCCGTTTTGCAACATATTGCAATGTTACGAGTTATTTTAATATTATTTGATGTGTTGTAGAGTTTCTGTTAGGCTTGGAGTAGAATAGAATTGTTTGTTCGACTACATTATACACAGCTGCATATTTATAGCACAAAATGAAAATAGCGGTCGAGAATTAATATAGGTGCAGTGTGGCACACTTAAGATGAAAACACCCCTGCTTTTTAGTCATTTTTGAAAGCAGATATTTGATTTTTGGTACAGGCAGAGACCTTCATGGGCCGCACTTTTCGCAATACTTTGCCCGAGTTGAATTCGAATGCGTTGTTGAACTGTACGAACTGTTATTCTGTTGGATAGATTGCAGTCAAAGAAATCAAGTGTGTTGTTTGTGAAACCGAATGCTTTTAATTTCAGAATCAGTGTATATAACGTCTATTTGATAGCAATTCTTTATTCCGTTCCCATTGGTCCATCTCAAGGCCAATGATCAGCCAAAAGGGTAGGGGAGCTGGTCTCCAAATCCTGGATGAAATCAAGATGATCGTCAGCATTCTTTATTCCATCCGTAACAAAGTTACGAAATGCGCATAAATTGGTAATGGTAGATTTAT